CTTTCGCATTGTGTGTAGACTATGTAGAATGCCCGCTTCAAATCGACCTGTTCGTACAGTAGAAGGTACGGCATGCTCGAGAGCTGTTTTATTTGCCCCAGCAAGTGGGAAAATGAAGGCACGCACAGCGTACTACCAGGCATGCGTTGTTGACGACAACCGGTGGTGCACGGACCTAAACGCTTAAGCTTTGGTTGTTCTGTCCTCTCATGCTCAGAGGAATGTCTAGAGTTGAATGATTTTTTGGTGGAGTACAGCATGAGGAATATGTAGTTTTGCTCCGGTTGGGGGTGTACACCCGAGGCGTCCTCTCATGCGAAGGCTTATTCGTTGTGTGGGTCGCTTTCTCCTATCCCCAATGTTCGCGCAGGCAAATCTGGACGCAGCAACGGGGAGGAGGACGAGGAGGAGGGAGCCATCCCTGCCAAAGCACTCCTTACGTTTCGAAATGTTATCGGGATGGTCGCCATAGCACGTGACAGTAAAGAGCCGTTTAAAGTCGATAATGTGGAGTACAGTGCGACTTGGGCGATTTTGTGGTCGTGGCATTCCGCCCATCCTCCTTCACAGCGTGCAAGTGTTGCTACGGTCGGAGTTTTGATGTTAGACTTGGAGTTCCCGACAGTGTTGTAAAAGGTGCTCCAGAGATGACGTTGGCATTGAGGCCTGATTGGAACGGAGTGTCTGCACCATGTACATTTAAATTTATCGTGTATTTTGAAGCACAACCAAAGACCATACCAATTGGTCCAAAAAAAACTCCCGCCCGCGCCTTGCACTTTCTTTTTTTTACAGGGTGCACGGACACGTATGTTCTCGGTTGCGCAATCGAGAAATACCCCGAGCTGAACCAAGTGTGCAACAATCTCCTCCCCGAGGGCGCTCAGCGAGAGGACGACGGGACCGGAGAGGGCACTGTCTGCAACGGCGGTGCCGAGCGCCGTGCGGCCACCAAGCGGGAGGGCGCCAGGCTCAACGAGCAGAACAGGCGGGGGAAAAAGCAAAAAAAAAGGGGGTGGGGCAAAGCGTGGCAGAGGCTACGTCCGCTGCCATGAAAATGGCACTCGTCGATATTGAGCCACAGCTGGGAAAGGTTGGCGGATCAGAAAAATCAGAGTGGGCCAAAAAAAGAGAGGAACACGCTTGCAAGACTGCTGAACACAACAGCAAAGCTTCTGGCCTCGCCCTCCACAAGGAAATAACCGAGTCCCACGCCGAATTCTCGAAGAAAATTGTGGAGGAGAAAGAAAAAGCAGAGGGTTATCAGACGAGAGTTAGATTACTGCGCAAAATGTTGGCCGGCGTCGAGAAGGAAATGTTTGGCGACGAACAATAACACCCATATGCACTCCCGGAAAAGTATTACCGTGCAATCGTCGAATTTTATGCATGCGTGACGGGGACGGGGCGGGGGGTAGTTTTTTTTTATCGTTGGGCATGGTTGAGTCAACGTCTTCGTTTCGTCGCAGTATTGAGGATACGTGCGCCTCCGCATAGACGTGTGGGTTTGGTAGGCAACAACGTTTTGAGAGGATGCCTTGCGGCAACAAAGGAGTATCGACGAAAAAATACGGTGGAAGAACGCCGAGACCGTTGCGGTTCACGGGCAAGTTGCTGTGCCTGTTTCTAACGAACACGAGGGCGCGTTTTTTGTTTTTCTCTCCCTGCTGCAGGGTTTGCTTGCTGCGAGGGTCATAGCCTTCTTTTTTGGGGGGGCCAGGGGGGGGGAGGTTTCATTTTTTTTGTTGGGCATGGTTGAGTCAACGTCTTCGTCTTTTCGTAGCATCATTTTTTTT